TCTTTCCCTCTCTCTGTCTCTCTCTGGTGAGTGCGTGCACCCTCTAGCAAATTAAAATAATAATAATGATTTCAATATTTTTCAGAATGAGAATACTCAGATTGCTGACATTTATTAGTGTAACCCTTCTCAAAAGTATTTTTTACAATATATATCAAGAGCTACAAAATACTCATACTTTTTTTTACCTATTAATTCCAAGGAATTAATCTAAAATATGAAAAAGCTAAGTTTGAGGTTACTAATGAGAAAAATTAGAAACAACATAAATGTCCAATGATAGGGAACTGGCTAAATACATGACAGTATATATACTCAACAGAATTCGTGCAGCCAGTAAAAGTTATGGTGACAAAAACTAGGTCACAACATGAAAAATGCTTATGACATCATGTTCAATGAAACAGCAGACCTTGAACTGTGTGTATGCTGTGGCTATAATTTATGTTTGTACAAATACAGGAGTGAGTAGGGAACACAGAAAAATGAAATGGATATTTGTTAAGGTAGTGAGATTGTGGGTAGAACAAATGACTTTTGTATAATAACTGTATAGTCCATCAACTTTTTTTGCAAATAGAAAAGAATTTTATTACTAGAAATATTTTTCTGAGAGATTTTCGCTATAGGGCGCGTGCGCTCGCCAGACAGAGAGAGACATAAGAGACAGAAAGCGAGAAATCACCCCCCAGGGGGGATGGTCACGTCGCAATCCCTTCTCCTCCATTCTCCTCTTGGGATCTTGGGCACACATGCACACGCGCCCGGCGTGAATTTTAAGCCACCGGGTCTGGGATGTGAACCGCGGTCGACTACGTGGGAGTCCAGCGACATAGCCATTATGCTAACTGCTGGTTCCCAGAAATATTTCATTTATTAAAGAATTATTTTATTTAACTTTATTTATTTTTTTATTTTTATTTTTATAATTTGACCAGAGAGGGACAAAGCAAGAGAGAGAGGGGAAAAGTGACAGAGTAAGCCTCCAGGTCCGGAACTTGAACTGTGGTCCGTCATGTGGGAGGTCAGTGCCCTTAACCACTACACCACCTGCCAGCCCCAGAAATATTTCTAACTGATAAAGGAAGATCAAGGTAATCTTGAAAGAAGTACAGAACACCTACCAGAATGTTACAGTGGTTGTTTTCATTGGCTTTTTAGAGGAAAAATCACGTGCTGTTTCCTAGAGACAGTATACAGATGATAAAAGAAAGCAGCATGGTTTTGTTTTATTGCTAAGCCTTATTATTACTTGATCTAACAGATGGGTCCAAGCTCTGAAATTTTTCCTAATGGAATCCCACACACATCCACCAAACAAATAGGCAAAGCCTCTGATGCCTGGCCCTAGGCTAAATGCCCTAAGGGGAGGGACCAGCGGGTGGCATAATGGCTATGAACTCCCACGTAGTTGACTGCAGATTGAGTCCTGGACCCAATGGCTTAGAACTCACGCCAGGCATGTGTGCGTGCGTGCCCAAGATCCTGAGAGGAGAATGGAGGAGAAGGGATTGCGGCATGACCATCCCCCCTGGGGGGTGATTTCTTACTTTCTATCTCTGTTCGTCTCTCTCTCTCGCTCTCTGGCAAGTGTACATGCCCAATAGTGAAAATCTCTATCTAAAAAAAAAAAAAAAAAAAAAAACACCCCAA